GGAGTATTTTGGTTCTTTTTTTCTTGTGAAATGGGCCCGTTCAGCATATTTTATATCATAGTGAAAATTATATTATCATAATTTTGAGATATATTCTTTCACTTTCACGTTGCCTGGAAGGTCCTGTACTGTATCGGGGGAGCCTTGGGACTCGGGACCCTGATGTACGCCGCCATTGGTATTGTGTCACCCCTTACGGTCCGGAAGCGGAAGAGCAATTACGTCATAGGCGTGTTGTCTGAGGTCGAACATGGGGCCCAAGTACTGGCAGCCTCCTTGGTACACCAGGGTACGTTGAACACGATCAAATTAATTGGTAGGGAAATTCTATTCTGAGTACACCTGGGCACAGATAACACACAGGCGGTTGGAGGGCGCTACTGGTAGGTCCTGCATCTTTATTTTCTCTCTTTTGCTTCTGTCTGTCTGTCTGTCTGTCTGTCTGTCTGTCTGTCTGTCTGTCTGTCTGTCTGTCTGTCTGTCTGTCTGTCTTGTCAGTCTGCCTATCTACCTTATTTTTTCTCAGCAATACATGGCCAGTCTTAGGTCGATGTGCTTCTCCTTTAGTAATAAATATTAACAGCAACCACATAAACCACACTCCTTTTTTTCTTCTCCATCGCGCTGCATGCCGCATATTCCTGGCCGTATAATGAATAAATGAATATTTAAATTGGTAAACAAGCAAACAAGCAAGTAAACAAACAAACCAACAAACAAATGAAAACAGATAAATTAATTAATTAATACATTAATACATTAATAAATACATAAATAAACAAATAGATAAATGAATGAATGAATGAATGAATGAATGAATGAATGAATGAATAAATAAAAATAAACACATATACTTCTTTGAATGAATGAATGAATGAATGAATGAATGAATGAATGAATGAATGAATGAATGAATGAATTAATTAATTAATTAATTAATTAGATCTAGAACAACCAGAAAGAACACCTTCCTATTTCTCCAGCTCAGTGGACAACTCCAGCAATCGCCACCCGCCGTATTTTCCTGGCCTTCTGGTGGATCTTCTGCATTGCCCTGGCGGCCACGTACCGTGGGAACCTCACGGCCTTTCTGCTGGTTTACAAAGACGTGGTCCCATTCAACACTCTGCAAGAACTGGCCAATCAGAACGTCTACAAGTGGGGCGTCATCGGCTCCACTGTTGTAGAGGGTTTGCTTTACGTGAGTCCATATTATTATTACTATTATTATTATTGTTGTTATTTTTATCATTATTATTTTATTTATTTTTTATTATTATCATTATTATTGTTATTATTATTATCATGTTTGAGAGATTGCCTTTTTTATTGCATGTGTGTTGTTTTTTAACGCAAGAACAGCTCTACAGATATAATACCATTCAATGTAGACCCATTTTTACACAATTTAGATTATAATTTACATGTAGGGGGGATACAAAATCCCAGGCCGTGAATTTTTTTTAAAGATTGAGATACTTGATAAAAGAATTTCCCCACTCGGGAATATCGGAACTGAACGGGGTTCTCCTGCGTGCGAGGGCGAGGCGCCTAACTGCAACACCAAAGTCGCCAGTGTATGATTGTCCCTGTTTGTTTGTCTGTACGTATGCAAGTCTGTGTCTGCCTCAGATATGTAGACTTTCTGTTCTTATGGTCAGTCTGTGACAGGCTCAGTTCTGCAAAGAAATGGGTAGTTAAGCCATAGTTGGTATCTTGAGTGTAATGGTTAGTCTTTCAGCAGTTGCACCCAAAATACTTGAGTTCGATTCCTGCATGGATGGGGATGATATTTTGTGGAGTATCTTTGTCTTTGCACAGGGACATTTTACCCCATTTGGCATGTGTTGGCTCCAGGGGCGAAGGCTGACTTGTTAGACAGGGTAATCAAAGTGAAACGGGACCAGATATGGCCTGGAGATATTATTATCACACAAGAATTTCACTCAATGCGGCGACTCTGAGTTGTGAATTGTGAATGAAAACAAATCCGGAATTCATATTGTGTGATGTATGTTCAACCGCCAAAATAGTCGGGAAAGTATCTTATTAAATATTAATTCCAACTAAAATTAAATTTAACTGTAGATGTGATTACACAAACACAAAGCAAAGAAGCAGAGATGTCAGTACTAGATCTTTATGTTATAGATCTACCCGTGAGTCTAACTATTTGGTAGAACGTGACAATTATCCTTTTTTTATATTTCACATTTGGCTGTTTTTGTCTAGCCTTTTGCGGCCAGGAGTCGGTGTCATAATCGGGGTCATGATCTGATTATAGGACGGTAAAAAGTCGAGGAAAAAAGGCAAGCACCTGCAGCAGTCAAGAGATTGTTAGGAGTTAGTTCCCCTCACATTTGTGAGGTAGACTCGACCAGTGTAATAGTTAGCTTACATAATCAGAGTTTGCGACTGCTTATAACTTTGGGCCCAAAGGGGTGAACAGGGTATTTATGGCAATGAAACAGTCGTGACTGCTATGGACCTGTTCCCTTCAACTCTATTGGTAGACTCTTCCAGTTTCACTGCTTACTTAATCAAAGCTTGTGACTGCTTATGGAGTGGCCCGAGAAGGGTTAGCAGGCTATTTCTGTGGCAGTGAAACCCTTTTGAATGTTAGGCATACTGTTCATTGTTGATTATGAACGTCTTTTTACATTTAATTTATGAGGTTTGCGTTTATAGGTGAATTTGACAGCGACAATGTTTCAAAATTAGGAAGGGGAGCAGTGATTATTTGATTATATAGACGCTTCGCCCCTGTTTGGTTCAACTATGCGGGGGCAATTCAGACAGCCTCCTAAACGATTAAGTTTTGTCGAGGGGGGCGTAGAATATTTTCAGTCAGTCGCAGTTAGGATGCCTTATAGCTATTGATTGAGCGGTTGTTGAATATTTGCTATGAACTTAACTTAGCCATCAGGTGTGCTGAATTCTCTGTTTCAGCACGTCTATTTGTGTCGTTAGGTGTCCCCACTCTCTCACCCCCTCCTTCCTCCTCTCTCTCTCTCTTTCTCTCTCTCTCTCTCTCTCTCTCTCATTGCCTGCCTGCCTGCCTGCCTGCCTGCCTGCCTGCCTGCCTGCCTGCCTGTCTGCCTGTCTGTCTGCCTGCCTGTCTATCTCTTTTTCTTTCACCCACCTTCCCCTTTCATCATATTATTATTGTATCCTTACTGACTTGTTTCGTTATCTCTTTTGTCCTTCGTTCAGTCACGGTTCTTTTCAGGTTGGGAGTGGGGTCATCTTTATTTTCTTCTTCTTTTTTTCAAGCTGTTCCATTTGGGGGAAAAGCTGAAGGACTTTTTTAGGGGGGGGGGGTTAATTTAATTTTTTTTCAATTGAGTGAGCGCTTTACTTTTCCCCCGCACAGACGTCTCAACGGGAGGACTTCCGGAAGTTGGGAGACGGCCTTAAAAAGTTCAAGGCTATTGACCCGGAAGTTGTCAGCCTTGACTCGGAAGTCCATCGCAGAAAGATCAACCGTGGTCAGTACGCATACATCAGCGACATGGTCCCCATGGAGATTTGGGTGGCAGAAGACTGCGACTTGCGTTTCCTGAAAGAGACAGTGATGCCCCTGCCTTTTGTTGTTGGCCTTCATAACAACTCGGTATACGTGCAAACCTTCAACGGGATGTGAGTTCGTTTGATATTCATTCATTCATTCATTCATTCATTCAGTAATTCATTCATTCTTTCATTCATTCATTCATTCATTCATTCATTCATTCATTCATTCATTCATTCATCCTAAGTTAAAAAATGGTTTCGGTGTTGGAGTTGATGCCTTTCTGTTTTGTCTTACAGATTTCATAAATGAGTTCTGTCATAGATCTTTAGTCTGACTGAGAGGCATGGTTCAGATATATTATACTGCTACAGTCAAAGCCAAAAAAGAAATAAATTGTACAAGACACTCTACTAAATTTCAGATACCATGTCATATTCTCAGTGATGCATTTTGGGTTCGGAGCTTGTGTCGAAATACTTAAGTACGCAAGCATGCACACACACACACACACACACACACACACACACACACACACA